CATTGATACACCACATCTCTACCACATCTATGTCACTTTTCAAGATGAAATAGTCATCAGAATGAAGGAACATGTCTTGCGAAAGAAATCTCAACTACTAGATGGTAAATTAACTTTTTGGATTCTACCTATGGAGTCTATTAAATTGTTTCTTCAGCATTCTTTATTGATACATGCATAATTTTTATTTCTCATAGCACTCTGGAAAGCATTTGTAAGCTCATTTAAAATATGATCAACTGAGGCTCATGGAAGTTAGATCACTTGCTGTATTTTCTAGCTGGGCTGCAAGCTTTGTGAAAGCAAGAAAATCATCTTTTCATGACTGCAATTTCCAGGGTCTGGATTAGATCCAGAGCACAGACTTGATTACAATTGTGGAGTAGCTGGCTCATATATATCCAAAGATTATCTTCTTTCAATACCATCAAGGAATTTACTCTAAAAGTCATTAATTCGCTGTAAAAATGCAATTATTGTTCTCTCCTACCTTAATCTTGTGTGTCATCTTTTTATTCTTTAGGTTAAAAATAATGCTAATTGTATGATTCCTCCTGTTTCTGGATTAGATAATTATGTGTATTAAGTTATCAAAGAACATTTCAGTGCATCTCCCTTGTCACCATTTATTTGATACTGTCTTGCCTGGGGCCCAGAATTTATGGTATAGAGAATTCCATTAGCTATTAAATAGTCCCATCTGGCTTTTACTAGAGCAGGATTTCTGGGCTACTTGATCAAGGACAGACTTTCTTCTTTAAGTAACAAACAGGCAGGCTGCAGTGGCTCTTTTTAGAACTGAAAGATGTGAGGAGAAAGGTGTGGCTTCCAGCATGGTTTATACCCTCTGGAGATGCTCAGATTCTTCCCCCTTCATTCAGTGTTTTCTGCCAGTACTACTCTCAAACACTACGAAGCAATTCTCGCAAAGCACTGGGAGTTCCTGTAGGTCATTTGATGGTTGTTTTGAGCTGGGCTGTTATTTTTATTCTTATTATTATGAGTATCTTGATAGTGTTCTAATTAGAGAAAATTTACCATCTGACCTCAGAAGGCCAGTGTTGAAATCCTGCCTCTGCAGTCTAGTCTTTGACAAATCAGTCAGCACTTTGAGCTTCTGTTTTCTAATATACAAAAAAAAGAGTGTGAACTTATGCCCTGCCTAACCCCTACAGGTTACTGAATAGCTCAATACCATTATTTATATGAAAATGTGTGTGAGCAGAAAACACCCCATACTATAGGCTACATCTCCCTTTCTCTCATTTAGGTGTCTTATACATCAAATTTCATCCTAGAGAAAGGAAATTGCACAAAATAACTTATTTTACAATGGGTGCCTTTCAACACCTTCTTACATATGTGACATGAGACCATATTTGAAGAGGAGCAAGCCTTTTCATTTCTTTACTACCTAAGCATATATAGTTCAGTGAAGCCCCTCAAGTTTGATCTGAGGTCTGTAGCCATGACTTCTCCCCTTATTCAACTTCCCCTTCATTGCTAACATCTTTCCCAGCCCATTGCCAGTGAATAATAGCCTCCTCCTCAAATTTGCCTCTGAGGAGATAGAATTTCATAAACTAATTCTAATTCATTACATGAATTTTTCTTCTATCTCCATATTATCTTTTAATAGCTCTTTTCAGTCTTAGGGCCAACATATAAATACTGAATTGATGGGAATGATGATTAATGCTTTAGTTTTTGTAATTCTTGGAAATGTGGGTAAATTTCTTGGCCTGCCTGAGCTGCTTTCCCTCATGCACATAATGGTGATAATAGTATTTGATTGAAGAACTGTTGGTAAATTTATTTAAGGGATGAAACATATGAGGAATAACACATAAGTACATGATACGGTTGTTATTATCAGTAAGAGAATCATGGTGCTACATGTGAAATCAGAATTTACTTTTGATGCCTAGGATTGTAGTCTATGTTTTATTTCCCATCATTTTCAATATTTTATCTATGCCCCGTTTGTTTGGTTTTGTATGTTTTGGTTTGTTTTTTTGCTTTGGTGGAGAATAAGTGTGATTTTGCTTTAGTTCTGGTACACAAAGTTCCAAGAAAAGTAAATATAACAAAATGAACATTGAACCAAAAGTTATGAGAAGCTCCTTTTACTGTTTACTCACTCCTTTAAGTCAAAAAAACAAGATGTAAACTATTTTTTTTTTTCTGTCATGTCCTGGACTTCAGGCTTCTTGGTGCCTCAGAAAACATGAAAGAGACTGATTTACAATCACTTCAGGCAAACTGCCTGTATAATTCTAAGGAGAGGAAGTGAAAAAAAAATTGCAGTACACACATCCCAGGACATTCCAACAATGTATAGAATAAACAATCTCAAAAAAAGAACCCAAAAGCTCTTGGTGTTATATCATAGGGGTACCACAAATGGCCTCTGGGAGAGCATTTCTAAAGATGATGTGCTAGAAACATCTTTCAAGAGGGTGAAATTGACTCTGAGTAAAGAAAATCTATCCCCCTCTTGTCTAAAGCCTGGTGAGTACTTTTAAATACTGCAGCAACACTGTGAAAAAGAAATAGCATGTTATAGACCTATGCTTCTTAAATCCTAACAGGAGTAAGATCCCTCTGGGAGTCTTGTTAGGATAATATGCTGACTCGGGAAGGGAACTGTTGGTAGGACCTGAGATCTGCAAGCCTCTGGATGATGCAGATGTTGCTGATCTATGCGCCATAGTTGGTGCCCATTTACCTTCTTCAACAAAATAATTGGCGATGCTGTTTTAGTATTTATCTGTTAAATAGTTGTTTTCAGTTAGGGGCAGTTGTGACTCCCAGAGGAATTTGGCAGTATCTAAAGATACTTTTGATCATCACAGTGAGGACTCATGGAGACTACTGGCATTGGATGGGTGGTACCCTTAACACAGGTTAGCCCTCATAACAGCTTTTTGACCCAAAATGTCAGTAGTACCAAAGTTGAGATACTCTGATATAAAAGTACAGCTTTGTGCATTTCCCATATCAAAAGAGTCTTTTGAAATTGTTCAAAAATTACAAAGCTAAACTGTGAGGAAAGTGTAAGAACACATTTTATTCAGCTTGAAATAGAGAATGAGGAGTGTTTAAAATGATCTTCCAGTGTATGAAAGACTATTACGCAGAAGATGGTAACCAGCTGTTCTCCATCACCTTTGAAGAACGAACAGGAAATGTACATAAAAGGACCTGTGTTATCCATGCATTCTTTTTCTGCTTCCTTCATGCCAGCCAGACGAATCTGTTTATGATCTTGCAACCATATTTGTCCTGTCCTGTGTCTTGCTACTTACAAAGACCCTCCCAAATCCTGGGTACACATTTTCTTCTTACTGCCAAATCTTGTCGCTCCCTCCCCTTGAAAGTCTAATTTGAAAAGTCTTCCTTCACTGAAAGGAATAGTTGCCAGTTTCATCTCCAACTACAGCTGGTACACTTCCTCCTTCAACATGTTATCTTTCAGACTAAAAATGTGTTATTGCTGTATGTGTACAAGGAACTATGCTAGATTTTGATAGGGATAAAAATGATGAGTAAGACAGTCCCTGCTTTTAAGAATTTTCTGATCTAGGAAAAAAAATCTCACACAGATAACTACAATATAGATAGTATTTAATAGTTATCTGTGTGAGAAATTTCTTACAAAGTAAAAAGAGGTTGCAGTAATTAGATTATTTCTATGTAGGGGAGATCAAGGAAGACTTTATAAATAGATCCATAAAATGTAAAGTATCTGTCTTATTTGTTTCCGTGAAGAACACATTTTCTCTAAATTACATTAGAATCCTGTACAGCAAATGAACACTTATTATTGTTACCAAAACTCGAAGGATATAAATTAGAGCTGTCTGGAATTAGGTATAATTTTGGAAAAATTTATAGTAAGTAAGGTTAAGAGATTAGAATGATTAAACCAACTGAGAATCTCTAAAACTGAATATGTGCAGCTGAATTTGGTTCTGACAAAGGAGACTGAATTTAATCACCGCTGAATATACCTTAGGATGTGCTGTAACTTTATACGGCAGTGCTCTTTGGGAAGAATTCTTAGTTACATATAGGAGGGGAATGGTTTGGAACTTTCCAAATACATTTTAAAAACCAGGACCAGGTAAAGACTTTAGGGTATGACTCTGGAACACCCTAAGTAGAAAAATCTCACTTTTTTAGGACTACAAGGAAATTGAAGAGACTTCACTGCCGTTGAATATATATGTCATGTGCCAGGCATTGCATGAACTTCTAGATGTATCGTACATCATCTAATTGCATCTTAATAGCAACTTGTGAGGTTATCACCACCACCACCATTGTAAGGAGGCTTCCACCCCTCGCACCCCCTCTCCCCTCACACTCCTTGCCTCCTCCCCTTGATTCAGGAAGGGAAGGAGAGCACAACTCAGGCCTATATAGGAAGCCATCTCAGCAGAGGTGATCAGTTTTCCTTTCAGTTTGGAAGGAAGAAAACTTTTTCCCATGAGGCCTTAAGTGTAACTACTTGCATCCTGTGTAGTTGAAATGGGAAAATGAAGCTGTTTGTAATCACTGATGCCCATGGTTTGCTGTAGGGCTAACTATTGGGAAACTCTCTGTAACTGTATTAGTCATTTTGAGTTTCTGTGACTCTTTCCCATGCGATCGACATTTTTATTTCTGGAAATGATACAGGTACTAAATTTCAATGTAATTTGTTTGAATGTTAACACTGTTTTCTTTAAAGTCATTATGTTGATTTTCATTCAGTAACACAGTTAATATTAGGAGCTTCCTTGAGGTTCTTGTCTTTTGAGTCTGTATTAGGAGCTTCCTTGAGGTTCTTGTCTTTTGAGTCTGTATTGTCTTTTTTAAATAAAATCACAGTTTTCAGTCATAACTTCAGAATGCCTTTCATAATTCAAAACACAGTGGAAACTTAGTTAACTTTGTGTAATTGGACTTCGTTTTCTCTTAAAGTTCTAGGATTCTGTGTATCATTCAATGTTGATGTGAAGAACTCCATGAGTTTCAGTGGTCCAGTGGAAGACATGTTTGGATATACGGTTCAACAATATGAAAATGAAGAAGGAAAATGGTAAGCCAGTGGGTTTTGTTGTTTAGTTATTTTATAAGGGAATGGAAAATATTATGTGGCTACAGAATGTTTTTTGAATGAAACTTCAATAGGATGAGTCATTTATGCTAGAAAATGAAGTGTAGTCATTTGATAATTGAAATTGACATAAAATAAAAGAAGAAAACTTTCTTGAAATTTAGAGGATGTAGTTAGTGATTTCTTTTGAAGCCTGAATGGACCTCAAGGAGGATTCTTATCCAAAGCAGTCATTATTCTATAATTATATTATTTTGTCAAGAATTCCTTAATTGTTCTCATGTTAGAGTAATTTAATACTTGACTGAAAATCAGTAGGAAGGACTGGGAAGCAGATGAGATAATGCCTATAGGATTCTGTAATTGGGGGCTTATTTTTTGGTACTTTACTGATGTACTGAGTTTAGTCTAATGTTTTTAGTGAACCTTACTTAATATCTTTTAAACCTATTAAGTAAGGCTAAGTTTGTTTTAGGTAGGATTTTAATACATATTTAAAGTTTTGAAAATTACACAAAATAAATAGTAGAGCTGTTTTGCTTTTCATTCTACATAATTGCAGTAAATGTGTTTTTCTAAAATTGTAAATTGTGGAAAAATGAGCAAGAGTTAGTTAAACCTTGCTTCACTTTAATGATTTAAATAAGCCACTTTTTCCAGTAACTCATTAAGCAAAAAGAGACATATCTACTAGGAAAACAATGATCTATCAGTCCACAATAGCTACTTCACAAATGAAAAGATATTGATATTATTTCCTTTATATTTTAGTACTGATCAATTTGATGACAATTCCCTAAAAACTATCAAAAGTAAGGATTTGAGTTCTCCCATTTTCTAAGTATGAATATTGTGTGCTAGGTATACACTGGAATTTATGGAGGGGCTCACTGTTGGACTCTTTTTACAAATATCTCAGATGAGAACTCTCACTCTCTCCATCTATCTTTTACTGTCCTCCCACATTCACAGCCTAGTTTTAAAGGTTAAATAGGTAAAGTGAAAGTTGTTTAAACATGAGGCACCAATTTTCAGAGAACTCTACCTGTGGTGGAATATGGTGCATGGATCAACTGGTCAGGCTTCCCTTTGTGCATCACAATAATAAGTTGAAGCAATTATGTGTTTTTCAAAAAAAGCTTAACTATTATATAAACACATAAAGTTAATTTTTATTAATTTTTAATCAATATATAAATTTCAAAGATAAAAATATTAAATGATTTAGAGATTTAATCCACTTACTTAGAATGAAGCATCTTCTTAAATACTAGTTAATATTGTTCAGGTATTTTATGAAATTCCATTTTTATTTTATATTTTATTCTTCTTTTTGGTGTATTTTATTATTTGGTGTATTCTATTGAGTATTTTATCCTTAATATCAAAGGAAAACCCACACATTATCTCTCCCATCTAGTCCTCTCTCTCTGATTTTAGTGAAGTCTGTTGTCTGTTGTTCAGATAATCCTTGATTATCTGAATGTCAGTCTTATTAGAGTGGAGAGAATTCATATTCCTTGTTAGGAACCATAATACAACCATTTGATCACGTCAGTCTGTGTCTCATATTTTAAGATCCTATCCTACTGTGATATTTCCACCCTCTGAATGCTCCAATTCCTTTCTTTCAAGGTACCAGCAGGCAAAGGAATAAGAAATGAGAATTTAGTCCAGAAGGAGGCCTTGAAGTCATAATTCATTTCCTCCCCCCAAATCAACCTATCTTTGCAGAGGTGAAGGTATAGATAAGAAGAACAAAGACAGACCAACATTATGAAAGAAACAAGAGTGTATAAATTGGCAAGTAAGAATAAGGTTGCAAAAAAGATGTGGCTAATGGTTTCTGTAAATGAAGGCATACTGAATTGAACCACTCAGAATGCTATAATATATATATATATATATATATATATGTTTATGAGATAATTAATAATAAGACTTCAGTCTTTTTAGATCCAAGACCATGCCTATACATCTTGCTTCTCCCATTAAATCTAGCTTAGTTGTCTGTGCAAATATTTATTAGTGTGTTAGAGTTTTTTCTTTAGCCATACCATAAATATGGGTCGATCAAGCCATAAGTATTTATGTATTAAGTCCTACGTATCTGGCATTCTGTGAAATTGTATGGGAAATGTCAACATAAAGCAGCTAGAAAAGCTGATATCTACAGGGCATATGTGAAATAATTAGGAATCAATAATGGTGCCAAGCAGTATGGAATAGATTATAAATTCAATGGATGTTCAAAAAGAAGGCAAAGGTGATTCTTGATTCTGGAGAGAGGTCTTGAAAGGTAACTTACCTTTTAATAAGAGACGAAGAAATGTCACCCTAAGCTGGGAGCCTCATGAGCAAAGGCAGACTTGTGACATTGGGATGGTGGAAGGGAAACAGATATTGATAGACCTGAAAAGCCTAATAAAGGAGATTGAACCTAAAAGAGGACATTGAGAAGATATTGTAAGTTGTTTTATTAAGCCTAGTTTGGGAAATTACATACAGATTGAATTGTTGAAAGAAATGCCTGAAAGTCAGGAAAACTATAGGTAAACAAAACCACAATTTAGTGCTCCATAGATGAGGCCTTGGGCTTTATTAGGGGCAACTGGAATAAAAGAAAAGTATATCCAAGATAAATTTAGCTAAATCATTACATTTTAATGGAACTTTAGAAATGGAAAAATGAAGGTGTTGGAAGGAGTAGACATATTTCAAAATTTCCACACTGGACTATTGGGAAATAGGTACCTAGGAAAGGAAAAATCAACTTTCTTAGGAAGTTGATGATATACCTTTAAACAGCTTGAGTTCAACATGAAATCTAGGTAGTTAGAAACCTCAAATTGGTACACAGGTAAGGAAGAGATGTTAACATGCTAGGAGAAGTGCCTAGTGAACAAGGGCTGGCTTTGGTGTTTGCTCAACCACAGCCCTACACACTGCTTGGAAACTAACATGTGGCCATAAATACAGTATGCCCTGAATGATTGTGTGTTGGCTAAGCAACCAAATCTAGCTTAACACCCTGTTAACCATCAAAGAAAAACAGACATGCAAAAAATAAATTAAAAGCAATTCTCCTAGAGAAATACAACTATCTAGAGTTGAAAACGGATCTCAAGTCTCTACCCCCAGCCTTATGCCTTTTCCTTTATTAGAACTCTTTGTAAAAGTAATAGATACATGCTGTTTCCTTTATTATGACCCTTTTAAAAAGTAAATGATGATAATCACTATTTTGTGGTAAAAGTACCAGACTTCACATATTAATATATGTGTGAGTCTGTGAGCACTTAACGTAGGGTGCCAGCTACCTTTGTCCATTTTGACATCCATGTTTACAGTGACTTTTTGGAAAAGTTGTGAAAAAATCAGAGCAACAAAAGGATGTGACTAACTGAATTTAAAAGTAAGCAATCTTTAGTACCTAAATTTATAAGCCTATAAGGATGGCATGGTAGTAGCATGTAGTTCTAAAGAGATCCAGGCACTGGTGATGCAAAATAAATTGTAGAAATTTGTTTGGCTATTCTGTAAGTGTTTATAAGATCAGATAGAATTCAGATTTGCTTTGGAAAATGCACTATGGAATAACTGACATACTTTGGGGAATGTGGATTTTGTTATTTAATTTTCTCCAGAGATGAATACCTTCATAAATCATATTTATTGCTCATGTTTTGGAAGTTCATCCAACTAAGACTTAAAAAAAATCACCCTGACCCATCTTACCTCCTGGCTGTAGTCTGCCTAAAGAAGGAGCACTTGCCGAAGGAGCCCAAGTGTGGTCTGTGTGCTTGCTTTCATTCTTTTGGGAGAATCAGAACTGAATAGAAAAGGTATCCTTATAACTCCTTCACCGTTCAGGAGTTTAGTGTCAAGTATAATTTACTTTATATCTTTTGCTCAGAAACCACCACTTTCTTGGTAGCAGAACACATCATACCTCTGATTAAGATCAGCGGTTGTTCATTTATGGTTAGCATGAGCGAGCTGCAGCATCCAAGTAATTGCAATATGGTTCAGAAGAATTCAGAAAGAATAGAATTAGCTTAATAATTTTGCTTTGGAGAGAAGAAACTTAAATATACTCAGCATGGCACAAAGCCTTCCAGGTTTCCAGATTTAGTGGCAGTCATCAGCATGGCAAAGTCACGGGCAAATGGGAAAACACAGCTGTGGTTTGGGACTTTCCACTGTCTGTTGGTACTTTACTTCACTCTTTCTGTGCCTAATGTTTTCATTAGAAAACAGAGGTTCAAACAACCTCTCTTGGGGGTATCAGTAACTTTATTCAGTCTGTCCTCCCAAATAAGATTTTCAGGTTGTGGATTCCCTCCCCAACCCAGTACATATCAAAATATGTCATCCTCTTGCCTTTTCCCCAAAGGACTCTGCTTTCTCCCAAGTAAGCGTACCAGGGGCCTGTGTGATTGGTGTCCTGTTTCCAATATATTTGTCTTTTAAATAAAATTTTTTCAAGGTTAAGGAGGGAAAACTTTCTGAAATTTTCTTTTATAGACTTAAAAATAATGTTTATTTTACAGTGCTTATAATGCCTTTTGAAACTGAAATTCCCTCTTTGCCAAACTTTCCATCTTTGGCTCACCTCATCTCCACCTTTCTGCCTTTCATGACCAAAATTACTGCAACTGGAGAGTCACTGCACAAGTTTAATTCTCTAGCATGACTGAACACTTATTCCATTTATTTAAAAATGGCTTACAGGAGTGAATGGTGCTCTATGAGTGACTTTGGTTGACTCTATTACTAGATACCAAGAACGGGAGTGTCATTGAAATAATGTAAATATGAGATGCCCATCTCCTAGAGATTATCCTTCACAGGGAATAAAAATATAAATGTGAAACATGGGCATCAGACAGTTACCCTTCAAATAAATGTAACAGCAGCCATAATAACAAGAATGACTATTATGAAAAGCAAAATTTTCTCACTTTACTAAATTTTTATTA